GAGGGGAGGAACAAGGGCAGGTCTGCCTTACTTAGATGGGCAAATAATTACATGTTGTATAATGAAATCGTAGAAGAAAATAAAAATGAATAATTTTAAAGGAGTTTTTTCAGGATCTTTTTCACACATTTACACATTTTTTTACAATTCTTATTCTGTCAAGCATCCCTGAATAAACTCATACTTGTACTTGAAAAGACAAAAGTTCAGCTATATTATCATTTTCACACTCTTTTTTACTTTTTTTTCACTCTTTTTCTGATAACAAGGCGTTTCAGTGCTTATCTACTGTTTTGTACATGTTTATATTCAGCGTGCTACTGCTATGCTCGATTAGGAAAACCCAGAGTTTCTCCTCTGCAGCAATGTCACCATCTGATGTCTTCTGCACTGAAGAATGTATCTGGTGTTAGCTGGATAAGAATCCCAAGAGAGTGACAGTCGATCCAGCATTGTTTTCAGACCTTGCAATAGCATCTCGTGGTCCTGGTGAATGAGAGAGATGTCCTTCAAAGTGTCCGCTTCTTCCATCATCGGGGCAATGGAAGACTGCTCGATATCTAAAGCAGAAATAGAAAAGAGATAATTTAACTTGAATTACGTAAATGAATAGATATGTAAATGGAAAAATAGAAAATGGGATATTTGTGAATGCATGGGTCTTTAAATAAATTGATAAAAAAAATCAACCAAATGATTTACTGTCTAAACCACTTACACAAACAAATTTTAAAACGAAAATATTTGCATACATGTGTAGGTGAGTAAAAGAGAAGCTATAGTCCACCCCTAGGACCTTACTGTCGCAGTACGCCTAAAACGATGGGGTCCAAATGTTTAGAATACAGTAAGAACACAGTAAGGCAAAACTTATCGTTTTGTTACTTTTATTATCATTTTGTTGCGACTATGATTATGTCGATCTCAATTGAATTCTTATTGAAACGTAAAAGGAGCACAACAAATAACACATTTCACTTTCGGCAAATGAAGTTTTTCGTTGCTTTTCGTGCAATGATGGTAAATGGGTTAATCGTTAATAAAGACACTTTAAGTGTTTTATCTTTGATGCATGATGTCGATACGTTATTTCTTTGTCCAAAAAAAAAAAAAAAAAAAACGTTAGCCTCTGCGGAAGTTATCGCTTACTCTGGTCAAATCGGTGTGCTTTTTTCCGCTCTCGGCTTTTCTTCCAGATTAGTGGTTTTGTCATCTAGTGGTTTTTTTTTGCTTACGGAGGCCCCAGTGATTATCCCCCGATCTGGTAGCTGGGGTGCGAAAGGTTCCCTGTGATGGGGTTTCCTATGCCCAGCCAATATCTGGTAAAAATCGCCTCACATTCACTACCATACATAGGCGTGCCTTGAAGTAGGGGTGGGGATGCGGGAGGTCCCTGGTATCTTTCACCCAAATCAGTCAAGAAACAAGGCGAATCCTCCCTCATCACTATGTTAGTGGTTACCCCCCCTCCTCACACACACACACACACACACACACACACACACATCTACAGTATTGTAGCAACCGTCAAAGTGTAATTTGACTTCAAATGGAAGGGTTAACATTATTCTGACATTTACAGTCAAGTTCCGTCTTGCGCATGTAATGTGGACAGTCAGACGGAATTTTGTTGAGCATCTCTGATATTTTTGTTCAACACAGGGCTTTCTTTTCTTAATTGTTTATATGCGAACTACATTCTGTGTTATAAGAAGCATTTGCATTTAAAAAAAACCTAATTCGATTGAACGCGAACGATAAAAAGGGCAATAAGGCAAAGGCCTACTTTTAATCATGGTGAAAGTAATCACATGATTTCCCGGGAAGTTATTCTGTCAAATGAGACATTTCGTGTCTAACATTCATATACCAAGTTAAACAAGAAATCAATAAACCCAAACTAGATAGTGTGATAGGTCTACCTTCTGTAGGCCTAATGCCTAATGATAACAACAGAAAGCAAAGATAAATGCTCCTAGTCACCTTTGGTTTACGTCTCTGACGGCTTCCACCCTGCGGATAATGTGAATCCAGCGTTTCTTCATTTTGTGCATTAATTTTTGGCATAAATACATGCATTTTTGGTGAAACAGAATAAAGTACGTCTCAAATACATGACACAGACTCGACAAACAGAGGCAGTTGCTACAAACGCCCGCCACGTTTCTATGACGTTATGTATGAGGGAATAAACGCCTCTAGGTCGTAATGTAATAACGAGAGGTGACGTCCTAGACCAGTTGCATTTTGTTTGGTGACAGTGTCAATATTGTTTATTGACAGACTACTATTGATATTGTTTATTGACAGACTACTATTGATAAAACTTCAATAATACAATAGCACAGATATCGTATCTTCAGGGGAGACCGGGACTAGTTGGCCCCCGGGGTAAGTTGGCCCCCTATCAATTTATGACAAAGTAACTATGGGGTAAAAGAATTGACTTCATTTTGTAAAGTGAACGTGTCCAACAGTGCTAAGAAAGCGTCGGCAGTGAGTCCAAATGAAATAATTTAGCATCTTAAAGTAACTTTATTAAAAAGAGTTGATGGGGGGGGGGGGCAACTTACCCCGGGGTCCAACTAGCCCCGGTCTCCCCTAATGCATTGTGAATGATTCACCAGTGTCCAAAATGCCTATAGGCTTTTGTGTAGTGCGGTATAGTCAAGCGGGCGGGCACCCAGGCAAGCAGGACATTGGTAGAAGTTCAGTAAGTTAATAATAATTACAGGAACTACATGTGCTATAGAAGTGTTTGATACACACGACCTTAGATTACATATTGTATCTACTGTTTCACCTTCACATTGCCTAAGTGTAATTAAGTACGAGAGCGAAAACATGTAATTTGAGGATGAGGAAAATTGTGGATAATTGCACACAGAGAGTCCATAATTACCGCGCTGGATTGTAAAAGAAAACGATAATTTGCAAATATTACTTTTCTTCATACCTACAACGAAAACAAATAGCTTTTCTAACGCTAGTCAACCAATACAAATTAGGTTTTGCTAAATAAAAACATGGCATATAATTTCCAAATTGGCAATGCGAAGGTCTCCGAATTTACGCAGTGCAATAGCTTTAATACAAAGTGTATATTTCCTATGCTGACATTTTAACTGGATGATGCCTTTGTAGAAAGTTAATAATGTTTTTACGATTGCGTGTATCTTTAAAGTCGTGAGACAAAGACTCGGAGAAAGTGAGAACGTCATCAATATATTCAGACCCAAGAGAAACCTGCCTGGATTAAAATACAGACCACACGGTTAACTAATCGGTTTAAAAAGGTCTACGCATAGCTTCAATGCACCTTATTAAGTAACAGGAGTTTTGTTTAAGCTACGTTATTGATTAAAGCAACGATGGTTTGATCATCTGCCGACGCCATTTGGACTTTTCGGAGGTCTAAGGCTGCGTCTGCACGCGTGTCAAGATACCTCCTGTGTGGTACGTCAGTCGGTGTTATCTTCACCATTATAATGCAGACACGAGCCAAGTCTGACACTGGTGTGGATTGGGTGTGGATTTACAATTGCAGTAGCTCCGCGCACTGACTGCGCCCCTAACTGTATCCCCGGGAGGGAAGGGCGTATAAGGAATTAAACATTTTTGAATGTTGTGAAGGGAGATTCCCACGTTACTCTGACGAAAGGAATAGCTGATAAGAGGAGGTCACGCGGCATGACGGATATCTCTTCCTGGCAGTAGAATCGCGAGCACGTTAACGGGACTAGGAGAAGGGGATTTGAATGTCATGTTGCAAATCGCAGAGGGAAAAAAGGTTAGGATTTGAGGTATTAGTTACTTTGTCTGAAAGGAGCTTTTGTTTGATGCTGTACTGTGTTTGGAAACTCGCAGTGACCTAAGCGGTAATCATACATTTTATATCTGATCAGATCAAAATATTTAGACTGGCGTTTGGAGGCAGTTGTGGAAAAGAGCACGGCGAACCGTCGTTATGAAGACATAAGCTCAGGTGTCGCTGTCTTTCAACTTTAAAGCGTGGCTTATATTGTGAAAAATGCCAATGTTCTTTTCGCTATAAGCGATTATTAAACTGTGTTTTTGTTGATAGTGGATACAACAGCTATAGGCATATGAGCACATTGGAAGATGCAACACGCGTCGTTAAAGTTTCTCTCTTCTGGGTATTAACTGTTCATTTGTTCGTTACTAGTCGTTTTAAAGGACGCGTAACCGCAGCATTTCTTTTCTATAATATTGACTGTGACGAAATACAATCTAGATTCATTCTTTTTCAGACATTGGTATTTTAAAAACCGACTTTATAGGAAAAAGGAAATCAAGCCAGCCGTACATATTGAACGAGAAGAGAAAAGGTTTTTTTTTAAAAAACGTCCGTCTTAAAAGGATGGTGTTAGTATGACTCGAAGCTCTTTGCCGGTGGCTACCCCAGAAATAAGCATTTTTAGCCAAACCGCTAGCGGGTGGCTACCAGACCGACGCGAATTAAGATACCTTTTCTTATTATGGCAAACAGTGGTCTACTGCGCCGTCTCGTGGGCGGACTTAGTATGGGCAAACAATTGGACAATTATCAATTGAGCGCAAGCCTATAAACAGAGGAAAAACAATTTAGAAACCTTAGGAATTGACGAATTGCATGGTGCAGTGTCTTTGTGCATTTGCCCAACGAATGGAAAGTGTTTTTATTGCGTGTTTCAATATTAGACCATGCAATTTCCTTAGAACATTCTAATTACCTAACACGTCCATTCGTGACCATATATAAGTGGTAACGCATAAGTTGTATAGAGTTGGCAAGGAAGGAACGATATGTGCATGTATTTACAAAAGCACGAGGAGCAATGCTGCTACAAAGAGATCAACAACAGACAGGGGCCTTTCTGATCAGGAGCAGCATACTTAGACAACAACAAACTATCAGTGTGCTCCCCAGGCCGGTTCGAAATCTCTCTCCTGGCTACAGATAACAAATACTGTCAACCAAATGATACAGAAACAGTAAGATGGATGATAACGACACACTTCTAAAGTATCATTTCTCTGGCTCTGACAACAAGTCAGTACCAACCCATGACACTATACTTCCGGCTCCTGTCCTCAAAGGACTGGAGGATTACTATGTTCCTTGTCTTGCCGCTATAGGGTGCTGCGTCAACCTAATATCGTCCGTGATATTCAGTCGCAATACAACGCTGCGGCGATTCTCGTCGTCGCATTATTTAGCGGCAGTGACAGCGGCCGACACCGGCTTCATGATGACACTTCTCATCATGTGGCTTCCGCGAATTCATATAAGCTTTTATCTGGAAGAAGGCTTCTGTCAGCTATTTCTATCATGCAATTATATCTTTCATTTCCTATCCATATGGTTCAACGTGGCCTTCTTGACTGATGTGTACATTAGCACGTGCAGGCCGAGCAAGGCGAAAGAAATGTGCACGGTCATCCGTAGCAAGTTTGTAATTACCGGATTAACCGTTCTGGCCATTGTGATGTTCATGCATGTCACCTGGATGTCAGGCGTGATACAGGGTATGTGCATGCTATTAGTCCCCTATGACCCAGAACTTGCTTTTATTGATAAAATACAAACTGTGGTGACCATACTGATGCCCGACCTAACTCTCGTGATCCTAATTGCCTTAATAGTGAAAAAGAAAGTCTCTGATCTATGCCCAAGTTTCAGGCAAAGTGCCAATTCTGTCAGTAACGGATGCGGGCAGGTTCGCACGCATTACGTCAGAAACACGCCTGCAGACGGCGCCTCCCTGGGGACTCAAATGGCTAACAGCGTCCACAGTTCTGACATGACTATCGTCGCCATGTGTCTTGTCCTTCTGCATGTTGTCACCACATTGCCAGACCACTGTATAAAGCTGTGGTTCTATTCTCTGCAGATGGTCTATGGAGACATGGGGTTTCAGCCCAGCCCTTACGAGTATTCGCTACAGAAGCTTTTCTCTCACCTAGGGCAGCTCCGATTCGTCCTAAACTTCGTCATGTTTATCATAGTTTCAAGCGACTTTCAAACCGCCATCCGAGACTCGGTATCATTGATCTGTAAAAGATTATTTAAGTGCTCTCCCAGGCGGAAGAGGGCACCCAGGTGCACCGACGGAAGAGTTATAGAAGAGAGCTTCTCCCTAACTGACGAAACCGTGTCTAAATCCACCACAGGTGACGTGAAACACGCTGATGTGGAGGTGTAGGCATTCAAGGTACACTTGTATCATCACAATTACTTAGTGATCTTGCACAGCACAAACACCTGTCAGGAGTTTTGTAACGTTAATGTATTATCTCCCATTTGAGGAAGTTTGCATCAATACGTGCACATGCTTGCTTGATAGAATTCCTGATACATTTGTTGTCGCTTTCGTGTTCGTAGGTAGTGGGAGAACTGCGACGATAGAAAAATACATGTAAAACGATGTTTAAAAGCCATTGGAATCGTTCCAAATTTTTGGGCAATTCTGGCCTTCTGATTAAGGTAGAAATCACTCGTAAGACGATGTTTAATACACGGTATACTTGCAAGCATGGGCAAAAATGTGAGGTTTCACTTAACAAGTCGTGATGAATTGTTACCCTCGATGTAAACGTATAAGCCTCATTACACTTGGCATGTTATCTAGCGAACATTATATTGTACATGAACATTTTACACGATGGTGTTGGTTTTTTTTCTTGTGAGATATGTGATATTTAGTGCTATTGTTATGAAAGGGCAAAAGTAGTAGAAATCATAAGAACAATTCATCTATCATCTGTCATTTTTCTTGGTTGATTTTGACCTGTTAATTGTCTGCAGGTCGCCGTGTTTTCCAAATGAATATTGATCTCTTAGGAATAAAACAAGATTGAAAGGAGATGTCTTGAAACCAAATGTAGGAGACTGGGCCTCAAGAATTGTATTCAAAAAGTCTGAGGCTAACTTGCAGTGCATAAGTTAGTTAACTTCAAAGTTGTCGAATACAAAAAAATGAATTTAAAGGTTTGACAAAAGTGTCCATTTGTGGGCCTCTTTTTTGGCCGAAGTTGGTCTGTATGTTATAAATAACCAGCACCTACGTATTGTTAAACTGAACTTTAAGTAGCAAATTAAGAAACAGTCTTTTATGAATGTTTTCTGAGGTAGGTTTTACTTCATACAGACTGAAGGCAGTCCCTGATCTAGGATTAGATATATAAGCTACTTCTTTCTCAACCAATGAACCCCTAATGAAAATCCCATTTCTATATGATGTTAGTTTTAGCAATCTCTATTACTGTGTTTTTTTAAGTTTAAGACAAGAAGAAAAAAAGGCATGAAAAAAAAACCAAATGCCTAAGCACTGAGAGTTTCGAACTCACCAAAGTGGTATTTAGTGAGAACGGAGCATGTTGATGGCAACAGAAATCTTTTTTTCCAACTCCCAAATGGCAATTCCAAGCTCATTTGTCATAAAGAGGGGATCCATGTCAGAAAACTTGTCAAATGTGCCTTTAGAAGCACTACAACTAAATGAAACGTAGTACTGCCGTATTGAACAGAAGTCCATTTATATTGTATTGTATTTGCAACAGATATCGAATCTTTCTTTGTGGTATATGCATATCATAAACGTGGTGTTATACCATATCTTGTATATTTTATGGGCGTCTGTCACTTATACTTATGTTTGATATATTAGTATTTAACATTCAGTAGTTAAAATGGTATTCAAAGGATAATCTCCGAGGGTTTGAAAGCTAGCATTTATACCAGCGTTGTTTCGTATAATCGTACTGTTGAATTAGGCGAGAATAAAACCTAGTTACACGATACAGTTGTGCATTGCTTGTCGCGATAAAGCAACGGTGCTTAGAAAACCACATTAAATTTCTGGCATTTTCCAAGACAGCTTTTTGTTGCAGAGGTAACTCGAGGTTAACATGCCTACGTGTAGCTTTTTATTTAGATTTTCTCAGAAGAACAAAAAAGTGAATGCATTTACAAGGAATTGTGCTTAGAATATCAAAATGTAAAGCTATCGCGGTTTTGCATTAATGATTTATGTATGCTTGAATATATGTTACTCCATTGTAATATTTGGAAACTTAATACCCAGAGAAGTCGATAAGAATAAAGCTTGTGTTTTATGTCATACATTAAAGTCTGAAAGCGTGATTTATTTGTCGATGCTATAGAATCACTGATCAAAACTTTTTTCACCCCACCCGAATATGTGCACTATATGTGTAAGATAATGAGACTATATACTGTACTCTCTCTCTCTCTCTCTCTCTCTCTCTCTCTCTCTCTCTC